AGTAAATGCTTTTAAAGGACATTTCAATATTATAACAATATTGGGCATCACTCCACAGTATATTATTTTGCCTTAGAATTTCCTCTGTCAGGGGAGCCTATAATGATAATTGCAGCAAATACAAGTTTCTTACCTAATGTCCATTCTCACCCTTATTCTTCCAACAGAACCCTGATTTTGTTCATGACAAATAGATGCCCAGTTAAAAACACTCATCAGATTCTCCTATAGCCAGAAGTAATCATGAAACCCAGTTCTAGCCAATGATGCAAGTCTTTTGGGTAGGACTTACAGAAAGAGTATTGTTTTCCTAATATAAAAAAGGAGAGTGCACTACTATATGCCTTTTTTTAAAAAATTGACTTCAGAGAGAGTAAGGGAGAGGTAGAGAAAGACAGAAACATCAATGATGAGAGAAAATCATCAATTTTCCCCTACTGGAGATCAAGGCCGCAACCCAGGCATGTGCTCCAATGGGGAATCGAACTGTGATCTCCTGGTTCATGGGTTGATGCTCAACCATTGAGCCACACTGGCAAAGCTACTATATGCCTTTTACTTTCATCCTTTCTCACCTCTTGACTGAAGCATGGATACAATATGTCAAGAAAAAGTGCCCATCTTAGGACCATGATGACAAAACCATGCCTTCAAGGAGGAAGGAAGGGAGGGAAGGAGAGAGGGAGAAAGAATCCAGAAAGAGTCCTGCAGCCTGTCTTTGAACTCCCTGTTGAGAAAAATAAATCCCTCTTAGTTAAGCTAATTTGGTAAATTTTCCATTCCATATATCCAGGTGCAATCCTAATGCAATAATACAGTAACTGATAATCTCAAGTTAAAAACAGGAAGTAAGAGAAGAGTCTAACAAATATAAGTTACAGTTTCTATGGCATTATTATGGCTCTATCTTGAACCACATAATTTTTAGATACCTTAAATCATTCATTCCCTAACTTTACTCTAAAGGTCACTAAATATATCGAACCCCTATTGACCTTTTCTTTAAAGATAGTATAAAAATTCAGGGAAATAAGTCAATGAATAATATAAAAATTGTTTACCAAAAAGAAATTTTTCCAAAATAGTTTAGGATATTAAAATCCATATGCAAGTTTTGTTTGTCTTTGCTTCTGATTCCAGAGCCTTCTGACCAACCAATCTTAGCACACTGATTTGCCCCTAATAGGTTCCAGGTGTGCCAAGCTGTTGCTTCACTTCAGTTCACAGGTCAACTGGGTAGGGCCTGGAATGGCCAGAGCCCCCAGGGCTAGTTGCCTCTGTCCACAACAGTCCTGCCTATTTACCTCAGTATACAATGCAAACATTCCCACTGCCTGTGTGCATCACAATGCACTACCCTATATGACAACTAGATGCTATCAAAATAATAATATCAAGGGGGGGAAATGAGCTATTAACAATACTACATGGATCAAAAATTAGCTCACACACATAACATTGTTTTATTCTTGACAAAATCATGAGTGGTCAATAGGGCACTCGTGTTTATTATCAAAGATGGATGATTTGTCCCATAATACACACTGCTAGGAAATGGCAGAGCCAGGACTTCTGAATCAAGGATTTCTGCCTCTGAGCCCTATGCTTTCCTGTAGGACGCCATTTCAAGTCTGTACAGATCTTTAAAATTCGCATTTTGAGTTCATTCTCTGCAGAGAGTTCAAATGGTTTTCCTTTGTTTTCTCTTGTGACTGCCATGCAAACACTAATGTATATGGAAACTGATATGATACCCTCTTTGAACTTAGCAAGACTGAGAAAGGACAACATTAAAGGACATATTTAGGTCACACCAATTTTCTTTCTTCAGCTCCCATCACTGACACCCAGAGAGCCAGCCCTTGTTATTTTGTGTGAGTAGAAAAAGAGAGTTTTTGCCTACCACTCTCCCAAAAAGTATCTATTAAAAAGAAAGTAGTAGGTTGCCATTGACCATGCTGAAGTTTTGTTTTGATTTGCCAGTTACAATTTCTCATTGTCCTTTCCATAAAGGGAAGAATAGGGAGAAAGAAAATAAATTGTCAAAATTAAATTACATATTTAACATATAAAAGGAAATATGAATTTTCCATACAAAGTATTGTCAAGAGATATTACTGAAATTAAAAAATTTAAGTTTGCTTAGTCCTGTTTTAGTAAAGCTAGACAACCAATAGATTTCAATGACTAGAAATGATAATTTAATTTCTTTATAACAATGCAGAAACAAAGAGGATACATGCATAAAAATAGGAAGGTATACAGAAACATCTATAAGTAGCTATTATAGACAGATTCAAGTGCACAACCAATATCTAAAATATTAACCAAATGTTAATTCACTGTTCAGAAAACAAGAACATGGAGGAATGGTTGAGCATGCATGGCTTAACACAATAAGTGTAAGCAAGTCTAAGTTAGAGAATATAATAAATGCAGGGGTTATGGAAGTGAGGTCGCAGCAGGTTTAGAATTTTGTGTTTAAAGACGTGGGCTCTAGATCCCGAACACCAGGATTCAAATCCTGGCTCTATCACTCAGCAATTGGGTGATGATAACATGCTTAAGTTTTTAAGTGCAGAAACAGTGTTGCTCTCTTGATCCTATCAACAGTTAAGAGCAGTAAAATTATAGCATTTTATAAAAAGTAGAATTCTTATATTGACTCATTGCTTATTTTCAATAATACTTTTTAACCAACTCATCATCAACCACAAAATGTGCACAAGGCATAAAATGAATTCTGCCACCCAGTAACAAATAAGCCTAAACTAAGTTGGAATAACATAAGCACAACTCTGTGGGCAAGTTCATGGTAAAAAGCCAGGCTAACCTCGTTCCACAATAAGCACATTTAAAAGCAATTCGATTCTTCCAGTACATAGTGGGTATCCCATCCTATTCCACAAGACTGTTATGGCAGCCTCAACACCACCCTATTACCTGTTATCATGGGATGCAGATTACACATTCTCCTCAGCAGCAAGCTGCAAATATGAACCCTACTTCTCAGGACATGACTTTATAACCTATTTAACAAGGGGATGTCTAACAGGCAAAGTCAAAGTCTATCTTCAGAAGTCAAGTCCTTTTGGGTGCACAGAGGTTGATTAGTGCATGTGTGTTCAACTGGTAGTTCATTTGAGTCAAATTTAAGTACTATATCTTATTCATCCAGTGTAAGCTGTACATGCAAAGTTAATCCAGGGAGAAATGTATACTCAGTATTACAAAATACGGTGTCTCTAGAAATTTTAAATACCACAAATTCTTAATTCTTCAACTGCTACACATACAAATTTTCCTAATACAAACATGAATGCACAGAAGTGTTTTAAAATGTGAAATCACAGTTAAAAGCAAGAAAAGGCAATATCCTGAGCAATCATAAATATAGAAACTAATAAAGAATGAAATGCTAGGTCAATAAACACCTCAAGCAAATATTAAATGAATACTTGTACAGCATGACTTCAATTCCCAAAATAATAAAGGAACTACTAATGCTACAGAAAAGCTATCCAAACAGCCTCAGCTAAAACACACCATTTTTGTTGTCTGTTTCTGAAATTACACATTTCAAGAATAACCTCCAATTAAATTCTCGTAGCATTCAATTTTACTTTTAATCAAATCACTGTTCTTAGCACTGTATAAACCATATTAAAGCTTCAAGACTTGTCTACAGCTAAACACAAGTAATCACATCTAGTGCTGTACCTAAATGAAATGGGAACAAATTCCACACGTTTTCCTTAAGTAGATTTTAAGTTGGCAAACAGGTTCTACACTAAGCTCATTTCTGTGGAAACTTGATTCGGTTTCCATCTCATCAGGGTTTCATTTTCCATAACCACACGTAGGAAAGGTCAGCAGTGGGCACGAAGGAGAACACACATGCGCGGGAGCAAAATCTGGATGCACCCCAGGGAGGCGCAACAGGGGACAGGAGGAAAAGCTGGAAGTTACACCAGCTGCCTCAGCGGAGCCTTCCTGAACGGAGAGGTCTACACACACCTACACACACATCCATTAGTGAATGGAAACTCGGTATGTTTTTAAAGCATTTAAGTTTTATGGGTAAGTTTTAATAACATCTGACTTTCAAACAGAACCAGGCTCAGTCCATACTAATTTCTGTAAATTACATTTACAGAAAATAAAAAATATTGAATTTGATATAGAATAAAACAAATGAATGTCTCTCTGAGTGATATCACAGTTCTTACTAGAAGTGAAAAGTTAGATATTATGATATTTAATTTTACATTTCTCCCCAATTAACACAGTCTACTTTACTAGGATGTTTGGGTATTAATTAATTCAGATTCAAAATGAAATATGAGAAATCAAAATAGGAAACTACTCTGGAATATGGCAACTTTTTAATCCTATAACATTGTGTAATATCTTAGGAAAACTTTTTTAAGTTTGAAATGACAATACCAAAGAGAATATGTCAACAAAAACCCTTTGAGTAGGATGCACCACATTTTATATTCCCTTTTAAGATGTTATGCCCTATGAGTATTTTGCTAATTTAACAAGGCTCTGGCTCTAAGGAATATGAATTCCGACAAGCCACTAAAAGCCATTTCACTCCCACAACTGGAAAAATATATATTGCAGTGAGAACCTCTGATCCTAAAGGCTAGCTAGGATCCATCAGACCTTATGAAATTCCAAACCATTCCAAAGAACATGGCTACATCCTCTTTCTGAAATGGCTGTTATTATTTTTATTTTATTATTGATTTTAGAGAGAGGAAGGGAGAAAGAGAGAGAGAGAAACATCGATGTGAGAGAGAAACATTGATCGGTTGCCTCCCCTGCAACCTGGGTATATGCCCTGACCTGGAATTGAACCTGCCACCTCTTGGTATACGGGACAACGCTCCAACCAACTGAGCCACACCAGCTAGGGCTGAAATGGCTTTTATTTTTAAACCTGTTTTCTGTATCACTGATGTTTATGTCTTATATCTTTGCTAAGCACTCACCTGTGATTTTTTGCAGCAAAGGGGACAACTCAGACTCCTCACATAAGACTTGAGCCAGTGCTTTCTTCACTTTTCCTTCTGTTTCAGCCAGGTCTTTGTCCTCTGTGAACTCTCCAGTGACAGAATAAATGTATATGAAGAGGACCAACAGCTCTTCGGGGCTGTAGTCATCGTTGGTCCTTTGATTCGAAGGCTTAATCATGGGCAGCAGCTGATTTAACACAACAGGCATCGTCGACTCCCCGATGCTCTGAAATAAAAGGTGGTAATGTGAAAATACGTCGTTTGTACAAAGATGTAATTTATGCACTACATCACATAGGGTGCAAACACCTCTAAGATGTTCACAGTCTAGATTGCTTCTTATTTGTTTGTCTCATCCTGGAGAGAATACTGCATGAAGTCTGACTTTAGAGTTGTTGTTTTGAAAGTCTAGTGTGTTTTTTTTGTTAATACTCACCCAAGGTTATTTTTCCATTGATTTTTAGAGAGAGTGGAAGGGAGGGGAAGAGACACAGAGAGAGAAACAAGTGTGAGAGAGCAACATCAATTGGTTGCCTCCCACCCACAGGGATAGAGCCTGCAACCGAGGCGGTATGTGCCCTTGACCGGAATAGAACCTGGAACGTTTCAGTCTGTAGGCCAATGCTCTATCCACTGAGCCAAACTGGCTAGGGTGAAAGATCTATTTTATAAAATAGGTAGTCAAGTTGTAGACCCTTTTATATTATCTTACATATTGCTTAAGCAGAGTCGACTAGTTTCAAAACTAAAAATACAAGTACTTCAGACACTAGAAATTTAAAGTAAAATTAACATATGTGTAAAGTAAATGATTACAAATAAAAACATGCCAGTATCTATATATCCAAATGAGTGCTGACGTTCCTTCAGAAGAATGACCTCAGCTTTTGCAGCATATTTTTTTTAATATCCTCTATATTGGTAAATATCAGTCTGAATAGGTGTTGTTGTTTTTTTTAATATAATAATGAGAATCCACTTTCTCCTAATTCTGGGGAATAGAATAAGGGATCAAACTGGGTAATGTCACTTGGGGTTCAAGATATTTTTGGATTAGTATGAAGGTAATTCACCTAATACCTTGAAAACATTCTTGCTTTTAGCTCTTCCACCAATTTCTTAAGTGGTAGTTAGCAGAGAATTTCAAAATTCCTCGCATGTGAAAATAGTATTGCATTACTGCAGTAAACTGCATAACTTCCAAAGCACTATGCACATTTGTAGTACAGATTCTGAGATTTTGGGTGAATAGATAAATCCCATTTTAAATAGTGTGATTTAATTTCATCTATAATATAAAATAACTCTATAAAATAAAACTTAACTATTTGTACTTAAATTAAAACCAGGGGACAAATGATCACAACTTGCAACTTTCACATTATTCATTCAGAAGTATTCATTAAGCATCTACTCTATCTCAGGTACTATTCTAGGTCTGCAGATACAGCAGTGAACAAAACAAATCCCCTGCTCTCATAGAGCTTACAGTCTAGTTGGGGGAAATAGACAATTAAAAAGCTAAAGAAGTAAAACATAAAATATATTAGATGATGGTAAAATAGAGAATAATAAAGCAGGAAAGGAAGATGGGACTTCAGGGTGTAGGTTTATATAGGTGAACACGCACTATTTTAAAGAGGAAAATCCATGTGAATATGGGAGTATTGGAATAAAGAAAGATCTAGGAAACTCTCTCTCCTTCTGAATGAAGTTGGCAGCAAGCAGCAGAATATGACTCTGTATTGGGATGACCACCCAAAACAAGCTTTTCTTGTCAAGTCACTTCTACGCCTGGAAAAATTTGGATATACTAGTATCATGTCAAGGTTATGGTTCACAATTATATTATTTGGTACACGAAAAACAGCTGTTGCCATTTATTTCCACTAAAAATCTTGAATGTTCACAATGTATCATACAAAATAAAATGGTAAGTCTTTGGAATGAATAAAGTACAACTGTAAAGAACAGAACAGAGATTTTACTGTTACATGGTGACAAGACAGGATTCATCAAGTATAAACACACCCACTTCTCAAAGGAAACACTGAAAGTTTTGAAGGCATCCTAGAATTTTTCTATAGCTTCAGGATTCTCTTGAGAGGAACCTTCAAGTATTCTTTCTTTGCTTTACAAGTTGCCAAAAGCAATTTAAAAGAAAGGAGCTGTGTTGTTGGCCTGTTAAAAGAAGGGCTGTGGAGTTTGCGGTATTTTCTTCCTTTCTTCCTTTCTTTTTTTTTCTTACTTCTTACTCTATCTCCAACTCCTTGGATGACATTAAGCAGATTCCTTCATTGTTTTATATCCCATTTCTATTTTTTTAAATATATTTTATTGATTTTTTACAGAGAGGAAGGGAGAGGGATAGAGAGTTAGAAACATCGATGAAAGAGAAACATCGATCAGCTGCCTCCTGCACACTCCCCACTGGGGATGTGCCCGCAACCAAGGTACATGCCCTTGACCAGAATCGAACCTGGGACCCTTCAGTCTGCAGGCCGATGCTCTATCCACTGAGCCAAACCGGTTCAAAGCAAGTGTATACATCAAGTATCTTTGCTACAGAAGGCCTATGAATCTCTCCCAGAACAAAAGAATTTTTTAAGAGATAGTTCTAAAAGGAAAAACAGTAGGACAATCAGCATAATCATTTGAAAAGACTCACTCACTAATGTCTGTCCATCAGAGCATCCCTCCCAAGTTGTAAATCTAAGATATGTTTTGCTACAGAGCAAAATCCCTTAGTAGTGTCACTCCAGCAGACTTCCGTTGGCTAGGTAATACCTGAGCACACCAATTCCTAAAATTTCATTCTCATCTGCTCACTGCATTCGAAGAAGTTAATTATGGGAGTTGAATACAAAGCCAAAAATACTGCTCAGTCAGAAAGAGGCATGCGATGCATCAGAAGTAAAGAGGCTCCATCTCAAACAGCCTGAATCCAATCCTGACTGTTCCTCTATCTAGTTCCTTAGCCTCTTATAATCTCTTTATTTCTAAATGGACATGATATACTTAGAAGATGGCTGAGCTCTTAAATTATTTTTGTCAAGTTCTCCATTTTCACTTTCTTCCCCCCATAGAAGATAGCAAATCATGTTCTCACTGTTGGTAACAGAGCAAAATAGAAGTGCTCAAAGAAAAAAAAAAAAAGCTTTACTATGGAAGCAAATGTAGATACAGAAATACTGCAGACATGTGTGCAACATGGACTGCTATACATAACGCATTTCCTACTCTGTCCACTAGCAGGTTCTAGAAGCGGTGACACCCCAGTAGCAATGAGCACAACCAGTGGTCAGATCTAAGTTTCTAATATCCTATATGCCTGATATGCTAAGTGTCCAACCATTCGTTCGACTGGTCGACCAGTGGCTATGACGTGCACTGACCACCAGGGGCAGATGCTCCAACCAGTAGGTTAGCTTGCTGCTGGGGTCCAGCTGATCGGGACTGGGCTAGATGGGCCGGACACGCCCTGGAGCCCTCCCGTGATCCCTCCCCAGCCCCAATCGTGCACCAGTAGGGTCCCTCGGCCTGGCCTGTGCCCTCTCGCAATCCGGGACCCCTTGGGGGATGTCGGAGAGCCGGTTTCGGCCCAGTCCCCGCAAGTCAGGCAGAGGGACCCCACTGGCGCACGAATCCATGCACCGGGCCTCTAGTTCTCAAATAAAAGAAAACAGGGATCCTTGGAGAAATGGCTAATTCTAGGGATAAGTCAGGGAAAATACAAGAGGAACCTGGGAGATCTTGCAGTGCCTGAAAGTAAAGGAAGTCCTGAAAAGAAAAACACACACAAAAGAATGGTGGCAAGTCAAAAGAATACAGGAGATAACTGGAAGACCTCCCAGCGGCCAAAGCTGAAACAATTTGAGCAAGAAAATTAAGTTGTAATGGATTATAATCCAAAGTATAGAATAAATGTGCATCACATCATACTGATATAAATAAGTGAGTGCATTAATTAATAAATGTAGGAGAAGAGAAAAATCTTCCTTACAGAAAAGTCTCAATAGCTAATGCGAATACCCCCCACCTGGAGGTAGAGCACAATATCCCCACTTCATGAGTGTGGGCTGCACATGACTTGCTTCTCAAAAAATCATGTATAAAAAGGGGAGGGATGAGTAACTTAACCTTAGCCAGAAGATCAAGGTTAATATTACCAGTGATAAGTCATATTGATATTGTGTCCCTACCATGATGTGATGAGAATGACATTCATTTTTGTATTCTCCCAAACCCAAAACTGCATGACAAAGCATCAGATAAATCCTGAGAAAAATTCTACAAAATGCCTGGCTATTACTCTTCAAAACTGTCAAGGTCAGGAAAAACAAGGCTGAAAAACTATCATACACCAGATGAGACTAAGGAAACAGAATGACTAAATGTAATTTGGGATCGTGAAACAGAGAATGGACGTTAGAGGAAAACTAGTGAAATCAGAATAAAGTCTGGAGCTTATACTTAATCACAATGGACCAATGTTGGTTTCTTAGTTTTGACAAATGTACCACAGTAATGTAAGATGTTAACAATGCACTGAGGGGTATATAGAAAAATCTCTGTATTATCTTGGCAACTTTTCTCTACATCTAAAACTATTCTGAAATAAAACATGTATTGGGAAGGAGCGAGGAAGGGGAGGGAAGGACAGGTGAGATCAGATGAGACAAACACAGGTAAATGTTGATCTCCTTTCTGTTAGACAATTTCAGCTCCGTATGAGGAAGAACTCCTACAAGTAGCACCAAGGTTAAGAGACTGACGAGGGACATAATAAACTTTCCACTAATGGCAAAGGGAGGCAGGGTGATCACCTGGCAAGGATGTAACCGAGGGAATCCCATGCCACTGTGGCTTGGAAGATGAACTAGAGCTTCTTAGTGCTATCCATAAAAGCATGGCTCCAGATTGGATAGATACTCATTTTCTGGTTTTCTCTGCTCTTAGAATGAAATACCAAAAAGGAAAAAAAAATCAGTGGTCCCCTAGATTGAAACCTTTTTAAAAGTGAAAGAAAGACTCTGAGGAGGATTAATAATGAGGATATGGAAGTAAGATTACATGCCTGGTTTGAATCCTGGCTGTACCAGTTATTAGCTGTGTGATCTGGGGCAAGTTATTTAACTTCGCCAAGTCTCAGTTTCCTCGTCTATAAAATGGATATAATATCACAAATACTTGACTATTAAACAATCCCAAACCACAGGCACCTAT